TGATAATTATTATAAAATAAAAATTAATATTTACTAATTAATTTTAAAATAAAAATTAATTAAATAGTTAATATTATTTTTTAATCATTTTTTGTTAAATCATTTAAATAGTTACAATTTTAATCAATTTAATTAAAATTTTAAAATTTAGTCGGAAATTGAAAAAGCCTCCAGAAAATCCACTGGAAAATTCCATGGGAAATAAACAAACGAAAAATTTCATTGAAAAAGTTGTCTCATTGTTTTCCATCGGAAAACCGCCGAAAAATTAAGCGTCGGAAAGCCGCCGGAAAATTCATCCGAAAATGGGTGATTTCTTGTACTGCAAAACATTTTATTATTCCGCCCATATCAATTCTCTTGATCTTGAAGCATTCTTTGAGCATTTAAGTGTCTTAATGATGTTAGAATTGAGTGATCATAGGCTCGTTAAATTCACCTCACCAAGCCGCTCAATTTGACTATAAGCTTGTCAAATTTGAAGTTCAGATGATCCTTAATTTAATTTTAAAATTTTTTAATACAAAGATTGTCTCGAGATTCATGATGATTATATGATTTTTTTAGAGTCATATCAGCAATAAAATAATATTTAAATAATATTTTATGATTTAGCTTAGTGTCAATTATGCCTACACTGGTGGATCATTCAATTCATTTTCATTAATGTGTTTGAATCTACCCTATTTGAGCAAATTTCAAATGCACAACTTATGTCAACTGATGTCAGTTGGCACCATCGGCCACCGTGTGCTACCTCTGTCTGTCCATCATCGCCTACTGCCACTATCTCCAACCACCCATCATCAACAACGATCATCGCCACCAATCACCATTACCACCATCCGCAATCATCAATCACCTCCAATCAACTTTTAGTCCAATGCACAACTAGTATCTTTTACCTCATTTTAAAAAAAAAAAATTACTCCTCAATTTATAAAATATTTAACAAAACCACTTAAATATATTTTCAATACACTATCTTTATTATACACTATAGTTCTTTTATAATACATATCTTTTTAAGCAGAGCAACCAAACACATAATCCTTTGACAAATCTCATCAACAATGAGGATAGGATTTCTGCACTAAAGTCCATATAAACATATTTTAGCTATTTAGCTCTAGTATTTGAATAGTCTTTTTCAGTATGTTTTTTCTTCTAAGTTCAAATTGATGGTGATCATATTAATTTTCATTGTGATTATTTTTTTCAGAATATTTTAAACTTTTTTTATTTCATAAAATCAAAAAATGCTTTGGGATATGTAATATCCTCTTTCCTCCACACTAAGAAGAAAGATAAAACATAAATGATACATATAAAATCTAGGCTAGCTATAGAGACAATCTCCTCCTATATTCATCATAGCCTTTCAAATGGTTCCAAACAATTCATAAATATTGAGTTGACTGAACAACCCCTAAAGATAATTCTTCTTTAACATGATTTCTTACTTATCTTTATAATATCACGAGAAAATTCAATAAAATGTTGTTGGTTCAAGCCCTCAATAATTAGTTGAGGATTATAAATTGGTCGAACAATATGAGAAATATGAGTCGCATTGATAAATAAAAGATTAAAATATGATGAATCATTCTGTGCGGACACTGGACAGGTAGAACTGTCCGATTTGTCTCATTAATTGAACAGTAAATTAAAGCGCAGATCATTGTACTTTTAATGTTCATGCTGAGTTTTTATTGTTCATAGAAAATCTCTCCTAAGACACAAAAAACCATTTATAATTGACAAAATTAACCATGATTTCCTTATTACAATATGCATGCATATACAATCAAACTCTTACAACATTTATAACGAATTAAGTTCATATGAAGAGCACCATACCAATTTTATTCACCTAACAGCAACAAACTTTACCATACATGAAATAATCACCCAAAAGAAAAACAATAATAATAAGCATGCAAATTAATTAAGAAGCAGATGAAGAAGACAACTAAATGAGGAAGGAAAGCCTGATTACAAAGCCACTAAGGGCACTTGCGCCTGCCGTGGTGGGTGGTGAGGGCCGCATAGCAAGGGCACATGTATTGGTTGCCGTAAGTTCCCGGCGGCACGCAGTTGCAGCGCGCACAGCAGGTGCCACACGCTCTTCTGGAGGCCGAAGCTTCGAAGGGAAAAGATCTGTGAAGAAAAAGATAGATCAGGCGTGACATCCGGAGCAGTCTCCCGGAGATCCGCCCCTACTAACAGAACTCGTCAGAAATGGGTCCAAAAGAAGGCCCATAATGATGACAATTATAACGACGGTCAACATCCTGGAGAGTCTTCCAGGAGATCCCGTTATTCTCCTACTTCAACCAAAGACGAGCTTCATTTCGATCGCAGTCCGCGGATCGAAAAAGTAATCATTCCAAGTCAAGAACCTGAAATTCAGTGGCGTCGTCGCTCAGAAATTCAAGTACAAGAAGAAGAAAAAGAATATGACGATGATGACACTATGGAGATTGAGGTGGTTCGTATGATCAGCCACGTCAATGTTAAAGAGGAAGATAATGATGGTGATGAAGATGACTAACAATCACAACCACGTGAACGTGTTCACCGACGTCGCTACAGGGCTATATCCATCGCCAGCCGAAGTGTTCGCTCCTCGAAGGAAGAAAGGGAAGAAGAAGTCGGAGAAAACCCTTTCACTACTGAAAATATTACACTCGCAGATATGCGAAGACAAATGAGGCGACAGATGAGAGCAAAAGATAAAGAGATCTCTAAGTTAAATGATAAAATGACTGAGATGATGACTCAGATGACGGCCATGATGGAGATGATGTAGAAGACCACTTCTATGGGCCCTGCACCGGCTCAACCCGTCAACCAAGCTGCTAATTTTAAAAACCCTCAAGCGCCTCAAGCCTCAGGAGTGAAAGGTGTACATGAAGGTGGCGATAAGAAAAATGATCCAACCCGCCAGCGCACTCCCCAAAATGTGGCAAGCGCCTCTGAACCCGTAACTGCATCGCAGTTGGAAGGCTTAATCAGTGAAAAGATTAAAGCCATTATAGCAGCTGAACAAGTAGAGATGTTGGTAGGAAAAGGTCGCCCGTACCCAGCAGAGTACGATCAGGTGCCATATCTAAAGGGATATTCTGTGCCGAAGTTCAATATTTTCGATGGCAATAAAAATCTCAGACAGCACCTCGCGCAATTCAAAGCTACCTGCGGAAATACAGGAGGCAATGATGCTTTATTATTCAGGCAATTCGTGAGCAGCTTGAGTGGAACTGATTTCGAATGGTATGCCGAACTGCCGAATGATTCACTGAAGACCATTGCGGAACTGGAGGCCTTGTTCGTGAAAAGATTCGCCAGTGCGACTGAGAAAACTACCATTGCTGATCTCACCCTCGACAAAAGGAGAAAGGATGAATCAGTAACGAGGTACATAACACGCTGGCGCAATCTCATTATGAAGTGCGAGCAGCAACTAGAAGAAGAACATGGAGTTCAACTACTGATAGGAAACATTGATGACAAAATGCAACCCTTCTTATGCATGGCTTCTATTACAACCTTCCAAGATCTATTGGATAGGATGGTTAAGTTTGAAAAGTTGAACTTATCAAAATCTGAAAGCCTCCCTGACAAACCTAAAAATGCTAAGGCGCCTGATGCTAGGAGAAATGAAGTCTACTCCGCATTCCCTCCTAGGCCTGATAAAGGTAAACAGGCAGTGTATAATGTAGATAAAGAAAAGCAGCCTATGCAATATGAAGAAAAGCCAAAGCAAGCTTACAATCCAATCCCTCAACCAAAACTAGTTCTTGGAGGAAATGATAAACCTCAAGCCTTTCCTGGTGAAAGGAGCGCCAGAGGCAAACTGCAGGAGCTGGTGATAGAACGTTTCCCTCCCTCAAGGAGAAAATGAATAAATAATATTCATTTAAAAGGGAGAGTATCGCTAAACTATTCCGACAAGCACTCAAGAATAGTTTGAAGTTGCCAGAATGTAAGAGACCTGAAGAGTCCAAACACAGTGGCGACCCAAACTACTGCCCATATCATCGGGTAGTTAGCCATCCAATTGAAGATTGTTATATCTTCAAAGATTGGTTGGAAAAGATGTACAAGAGGGGAGAATTAACATTATCAGATAATGTGTTAGTTCGTCCCAGAAAGGAATTCACCCGGGTAGTCACGTCCTCTTCCGTACTCCCGCCTAAAGAAAAAATGAAAGAACCTATTCAAGAAGAACAATGGGAGACCGTGGTCTCCAAGAAGACAACCAAAAGCTGAAACAGCTAGAAGGAGTTCTTGGTGTCAAGTGGAAGTCCCCCACTGAGCCAGTACTGAACTTAAAATGGTTGCCTGTGTCACAAGCATCCACCTCTAAACAGTAACCTGGCCAAGCTAGCTCATTCAAATCTAATAAAGCAAAGTCAAAGTCTTCTAAGAAGAAAGCCAAGTTGAAGAAGCCTATGACGAAGAAGACTACAACTCAAAAAGCTATTGATAGTCTGGGTGAATATTACCAGACTACCAGGAGGCCTATTAAGCTCGGTGATTTTATAAAAGAGCTTAAAATAGATGAAAAGGAAGAAGAAGCTGAAGAAGCGGCCCCTGAGTTATGTCTAATAGTATCATCAGTGGAATTCAATTCAGAAGATCTATGTTTTCCAGATGACGAAGATTCAGACCCAAGCGTAGCATCGCAAATGAAGCAAGTGAAATTGGGAGACGATTCCGAGTCCACATGCAAATCTCCAGATGCGACAATGGCTGACTCTGAAGAGAATGCTTCATCAAATAAGTTTGAATCAGATGAGGTGGCCCAAGTACAGTTGAGAAGTGGCAAGGTACTGCCGCCTCCACCAAAGAAAGGGATCCTTAATAAAGATAAGGGAAAAGAGATAGTTATTATGAAGATATTATCCTCGAAGATCCCAAGAAAAATAATACTTTGTCCAAGGGGATAGATTACAATATCTTATCCCACTTGAGGAAGATCCCAGCACAACTCAGCATATATGATGCCCTCTTAATGTATAAAGACCTTCGAGAGACTTTGATCCAAGCTCTCAATGATCCAGAAAGATATGAAGCGTATTTTGCTGAGCGCAACTTGACGGAAGTCTTGCAAGCTTGAAATGAGCTCCTTATCACCTTTGCCGAGGATGATATGATGCTTGGAACGGCAGATCACAACCGCCCTTTGTATGTTACGGCAGAGAGCGACGGTATGATGATCAGTCGAATTTTGATCGATCCTGGATCTTCCGTAAATCTCATGAGCCTTAAGGCACTGAGATCCCTCTGCCTCGATGTGGAACATCTTGGGCAAGACAAGTTGATGGTGCATGGTTTCAACGAGAAAGGGAAGAAAACCCTTGGTTCATTTATGCTCCCTCTTGTATTTGGGGAACTCCATACAGAAGCCAAATTTCATGTGATTGATACAGACACCTCATTTAAGGCGCTACTAGGTCGCCCCTGGTTGCACGAATATGGCGTTGTCCCTTCAACATTACACCAGTACATGAAGTATCTCAGAGAAGGGGTTTGGAAGATTTGAAGATTTGGATTGGGATATTTGGGAAAATTTTATATTTAAAACTGAAAATTGCACCATCTTGCACTTAAAGCGGATGGTGGGGGAATGGATGATGGGCCCGATCAATATCCCATGGTTCCGTCGTCCCGGGCTATCATGGTCCCTGGTCTACCTAGTCAGAGGAGGTAGTCGACCCAACCTGACAGAAGGATCCTTGTCGGCAGCCATGGGTTGCTTCGTCCAAGAGAACCTTGTAGACCTGGGGGGAATGTTTGTCTAAGGGGACAAATTTGAATCCACCTTAGCTAACAGATGGCTTTGTGCCCTATCAATCATATCCTATTGATTCATATCTCAAGGATTTGATGCTAATAAGGAGCATATTGGCTCTGGCCATAACCGGTATATCGTGGTGCCATTTGGCGGCAAAACCACTCGGTTCAGAGGGGCCCGGGTCATAACCGTTTATCCTGCGGTGCCATTTAGCGGCAAAATCGCCGGTTAGAGGACACGTACCACGTCCTTACTGGCAGGAGATTGTTTGAGAATGGATCCTAGTGATATTTTCGACTAGGCATTTGGCTCTTTGTGAGCTAGAGTAGTTTTAATTTGTCCACCCCGACAAACTTTTGTGGAGGGTGGATGGATTTTGCTTTAAGTATTTGATAGTTGAACTTTCAGATTTAAATATCTTGGATTTTGAGTGGAGCTTTGGAATATTTGAAGTTTAGGTATTTGGGAGACATTTGAAAATATTTGGGAAACCCTCCGGTTGAGATCTGTATTCAACACGGTCATCATCGGGGTGTTTGGGGTCATTTTCCTTATTTAGATTGAACCTTTTTGACTCTATCTTACTGTCGACAGAGGATCGGATTTTATAGGCTTTATGCCCTTATTAGTGAATTCATATTGTTGTAGGCCTTGAAGGCCGAATATGAATGCACAAATTAAATATTCCGGTCAGCTCCGTAACCGCATATTTATTCGATATCTCGAACCGTGTCTACTCCAATTTCTCTATTTAGGAGGATCGGGTTTCGTAGGCTTCCTGCCTTTGTTTGTGAATTTTCTTAATTTTAGGCCTTGAAGGCCGAATATGAATGCATTAAAATAAGCATTCCAATCACATTCGTGATCGTATATTTGTCTGAGAATTTGAACCATGTATACTCCTATTCACCTGCTTAGGAGGATCGGGTTTCATAGGCTTTGTGCCTTTGTTTAGTGAATTCTTTTGATTGTAGGCCCTGAGGGCCTAACATGAGTGTATTGAAACAAATACATCGATTCCCACAACCCAATATCTGTTTGATAGTTCGAACCCTGTCGACTCCTATTGATCCGTATAGAAGGATCAGGTTCGAACTTGAATTCACTTATTGACCCGCGCAACATCCCTAGACGTCACGTGTGTACCAATAACATGCTCGCCGGGGCCCATGCGAGTGATTTTTATATTGATTTAGATATACCCCATTGTGTACTTATATGTATACAAACTATAATGCAGGTGCAGGGGTAGTTTGAAACATTTTGTAAACGCCTTCTGCTTGCATGAGTGTTGCAGATCCGGTGGCGTGGCGTTGTAGGTTGTAGACGCCTTCTGTCTGCTTGCATGAGTATTGTAGATCCAGTGGCGTTGGATTTTGATGTTGACTCCCC